GAGACTCTGTTTTTCATTCACAATGATAGCATATGAGAACCTATACTGCCATCACGAGAATCTCTTTTTCTCGTTAACTACATATTCCAATCATAATCGGAATGTCTTATTGTATTCTTTTTTGTCGTACCTTTATCGTTAGCTAAATTTAAATACGTATAAAAATTTACAAATACTTATGCCACGTGAATATATAATGAGGTTATAGAAGAAAACTGTATCAGTAAAAATTTGTTTATTTTCGACAACCGCAAGTAGCTAGCGATAAATTTTGGCACATTTTATTTATTTCTGGAAAAGCATTTTAGATTTTATGCAGTAAATACGACATTAGAGGACTTCTAGAAATGTCGGTTTACAGGTGTCTATAGTCGGTATCGCGAGTACCCTCTTAAGCGTATAAAGTGTGTTTTTACTATTTCCAAGTATTAAACAGAAATATCGCGCAAAGTATATAATCGCAATATCATCTGTCAGTACACAATCGTCATACTTACTCGCTATGTGTGTATATTCATTACTAAACATAAAAGAGAGAGAGAGAAATTATATAATACACATAAGCGCAATTATTATATGTTTCATATGTACTTTTTTTTTCTCTCTTTATACATGTAGATTTTGAATAATAACTTCTGTAATCTTGTAACACAGAAAAAGATTATAGGCGTGTCCTACAAAACTACGTGTACGCGTGAGTATCTGGTTACGTAATAATTTTTTATACAAAAACCAAAAAAACAGAAAAAAAAAATAACTAATATGTGTACACGGACACACACATATACATTCATGTGTATATTTTATTTTGCCATATACATATAAGGTTTCTAATAACGTTTTTATTACGTTTTATTAACATGATTATTTTATTCTATAACAATGAATGATAATTATGCCACATCCGTTCCCACACAGCACACTTTATCTTGCGGATATCCCAAAATGATCGGGATTTTCAAGTACAATCCCAGAGATATCCNAATAAGTAATTTCCGGGATATTACAATAAGATATCGTGAGATATTTTATGTAAAGCCAAGGGATAAACCAGGATATTTTTTGAACATTATGAAATTTATTCCAACTAGTCAAAATATTTCCAAATCTTATGGATATCTACTAGATATTTTAAACTGTCCAAATAATATTCGGTGGATATCTTTTACACATCTGTGGATATCTCTCGAACATCTGTACACATAACGTATTTTATCGTGAGAATATCGTAAAATATTTCAAAGTGTAAATGCAATCTTAATATAAATTCATATATGTGCAATATTTTAGTTAGTACTTAAATTTTAAATAAATGTTTTCAATATTTTTATACTTACAAAATAAGCGTATATATAAAATTGTCTAACACTTATTCAAACATCTTAGAAAAAAAATTACACCATCTTTACATTTGTTTTCAAAATGTATTATATCAACAAAAAACACTTTGTGTGTAAAATATTTTTACTATATAATTACTTATTATATAACTATTATTATATAATAAAAGTGATACATATAAATGTGTATACATATTTTTATATATTATATTTCTTATTATTATATATTATATTTATTTCTCTATTTATATTTTATATCTCTTATTTGGTATATATTTATTAAGAATTGACTATAATAATCAGCATATGTTACCAAACCATTTGTTCACGTTATAATAATGTATTTTAAATTATAAATAACAACAACAACAACAACAATAATAATAATAAGAAGAAGAAGAAAAATTTATTATCCATTGTTGTAGGTACATTGCACTGTAATAGTTTTAATAAAATAATAACTTACATAAATAATAAATGAAATGTGTAGAATAGCTTGATAATACGTAGATAAAAGAATTATTAATTTCAGTAAGGATCAAGTGGTCTTGTGCGGGCTGAGTGCAAGGGCTACAAATATGAAGGTTTCAAGTTCGAATCCTACTATCACCTCAGAATTTTTTTCGAGTCCCGGTATCTTTCATCGAGTTACTTAGTTGATCGGTAAGCTGAATCAGGTCTCTAAAGAGTAATTCGAGTGAAATCTCGAATTAATTTTTCTCTTACAAGGCGATGTGTCGGTGTACTTTTTTTGTTATATATCACCATAATATTGCTGTGATGCATTTCGACGGACATTTAAATATTACTGACATGTAGATATTACATTAACATTACAATAATATTTCTAATATTGCAATAATATTATGTGCTATGTGGGATTATATTGTACGATATTTCTAGAGTTCCCTCGGATATTCTTTGGACATCATCTATGTCCGTAAGATATCACTATGTTGTGATATCCGTAAAATATCACTAAAGCGGACATTAGTACAACTTATGGACATCTCTCAGATATCTGAGACCATTTTGGGATGTCTTATGAATATTGCGATATCCCATACTAATGTCTGTAGGATATCCCTACGATAAAGTGTGCTCTGTGGGTTCATGTGGTGTATTACTGATAATCAAGACAACACAAAGTTAACTAAAAGTTGACTATAAGTCGACTGGAGAAGTCAAGAGTCGACTTTAAAATCAGTCTGTTGACTTATAGTCGACTAAAAGATGACGAAATCCGAATGTCCGAAAAATAGTCGACTGTCCGAGGTGATTAATAGTAGACTGTAAGTTGATTTAAAATTGCCTAGAAGTAGACTTTGAGTTAACTAAAGGTCGAGTACGAGTCGATTATAAG